CTCTGAATCCTATGAGTTTTGAACTAGTGAAACTCAAGAAATTATTGAAGTTTAGGTATAACAGATCAATCCTAGCGTTTCAAATCAAACTGATAGCAGTGCACGTTGCTTAGACATGAATTTTAAACTATTGCGAAAATGTCTAACATCGAAAAATTCGAGACACTAGAATGAAATGAGGCGTGACAAATATACAATAAAGTCTTTTTTGTAGGTTCTTAACTACGGATGGTACTGTAGATTTAGATAGAACCGAAGCCAAAACCAAAATTCTTTCTGAAGTTCCAAAAGTCTCACGAGTGACGCTTCAGTGTTGAAGTTTTACAACTATCGGGCAACTACCGAGAATGTACTAATAGAATATTCATTATTTTTTTGACAGTGCCCTTCATTTACATTGACGTCAGTTCTTTTCTAGAGTATGATGTGCTTACAGAATAGCATTGACAATACAATACTCTTATTCGATTGCACTTCATCTAAATATTGTTTTTTTTTGTCTTTTTGTTTATCTTTCAAAAGTTGGAGAAGAACTCATCGGTGGCTAACAAAAAATCGCTGTTCGGTCTTTTTCGGTATAGAGAAATCAGAAGAAATTATTGGTAAAATTAACTTTTGTTTAATCTCTTGCAAAATTTCATGTGAATCACAAAGCACGGATAATGGCAAAGAGAAGCTTGAAACTTCAACTCAAAGCAAGCATACGTACTATTCGTATTTCGTAAACGAAAGATCCAAATAAAAAATAATTCTGTAATGATTTTCATTCGATAACAAAAATTTTTAGGATAGATCTTAAATGACTTATCTTCTGGTAATTTTGTATCTCCTCAAGAACTATTTCATACCTTTCCTGCGGTTGCCAATATATATCTTATATCTCTTTTCTGGAAATTAATTGAATTCTCTTGTGATGGTTTGAAGATGAGATCGTACGTCTCCCAAAATCGATCAACAGGAATAGACATTTTTGAATTAAACATATTGTAGAAGACCCAGAAGAATTGTTGACGACAATTCTGAACTTCAAATTGTTGACACAGATGAAAAATATGCAATGTCAAATCAAGACAACGATCGAATTCATCTTTTTCAATAAGTGCAGTTGCTCGCTCGAATAACGGCGTGAATAGTTTCTCATCTTTTCGAGATAGAAAAACACGTTCTTGTATAAGTAATGCCTCTATATACAGACGATCCTCATTGTGTTTGATTTGGTCGAGTTCATCGATTGACTGACATTCTTGTTTGAAATCGTAGACAGTAATCGGTTCAGCAACAACTTTAGTTATATTGAGCTGTGATCGTTTGATGAACGAATGTTGCAATATTTGTATCACCCATTCAGGTTTGTAATCTTCAGTATTCTTATGTGAGAGTATATGTGAAGCAACAGTGAGTTCAAGGTCGTCAAAAGTTGCATGATCATGATTTTGCTCAAGTAGAAAATTAACGACATCTAATTTATTATTCTCAGCCGCTAGAGCTATCGGTGTTTTCTTTGCATGATTTGCAACATCAGAAGAAGCGCCCGCCATATACAGGAGTCGTACAGATTCCAAATGACCTTCCATAGCTGCTACAGCTAATGCTGTGTTTTCATCAACACATGTCTTTGACTCGAGTTCGACATTTTTCTTAAGAAGATATTCAATAATTTGTGTATGATCATGACTGGCAGCTACAATAAGACTACTTGATTTATTTTCATCATTTGTCTTTGTCTGGTTAATATCAGCAGAACCATTTTCGACTAAGAACTCAACAATATCCAATCGTCCCTTAATGGTAGCATCAACCAATAATGGATGAAGCGGACCGTGATTAACGTCAGCTTTACCTAGATTAATCAGAGTATGTGCCACAGAAAAATGAGCTCGGTCAAGAGCACACCATAATGCAGTTACTTTGTCTACAAGATCTCCACTAATGCTGTGCACACGGCCTTCAAGCTCAACCAGTTTTGCTTTGTTAGCAGAACGTGAAATTATTTCGCGTACTACCATATCATGTCCATTTAGAGCGGCTATCATTAACAAACTGAGACATTCGTTGTTTGATGGATTCATGTGCATTTCCGTGAGTAAATTACATGCATACCGTCTCTCATGTAAATATTCATGGAGTTCGTTCGATTTACCATAACGAATAAGCTTGAAGAGTTGTAATCTAACAGTAGAAGGATCTTCTTTTACCACTGATGAGTAGCTCCTAGAGTGTGTAGTCATCTCAAGCGCAAAAATTTTTCGAATGGTGATTTCTACTTGATTTATAACTAACACAAAGAAAAGAGAGCTGATGAAATAGTGTAATTTCAAGTATGCGACACAAATGTAGAGGTTGATGAGTCATCCGTTGTCAACTAGAAGGAATAGAATAAAAACACGTCACCTTGTATCACTTTATGCGCAATAAACTTCGATCATTTCTCCAACATAGTATTTCTCGATGATACACGATATTGGGTAACTTCAATCGCAAGCGTATATATTTTTGTACGAGATGAGTTTGATTGCGTTTCTTCTCATTTTCGAACATGAAATCGAAATTCAAAACCTATGAAATTCAATCTCATTTGTTGTTTTCAATTTAAAATTATCCAAATAGAGGATAATCTTAGATTTCAAATTTTTCGTTTTTAAAATTTTAAAAATTTACGCGTAATAATTTTAATAAAAATTTTATGCATTCAGTTTTACTTTAAACTAACTGCAATAATAGAGTTCGCTAAATGTTAGGTTTCACTATTGCTCAATCTATTGAGCTGCAAAATACACACACACTGATTGAAGTATAAGAGCATTTATATTCAAAAATACAGAAAAAAATATTGAAAAAAGAAGGTTTTGAAACATACATCTTGGTAAGAAGATAAAATATTTCTGAAATTTCGATCTAACTTTGATTAAACTTCATCAACTAGTACCTATCTGTCCTAAATATTTAGTTCTCATTCACAGAATGTATTTCATATAAAATTGTCAACTTTAGATCAATAGAAAATTTAGAGCAATTTTATGTTACCGAAAACTTAGTTTTCTTCATGTTCAAAAATAAGAAGTAGCCGTTTGGTTGTGAGTGGATGTTGGTGTTGGCAATATTTGAATGCATGGTCACGCTCACAAATCTATATTGAACGCTTGTGTTAGGAATGTAAATATTGGAAGCGTCTGAAAAGATAAAGTGAGAATTTTCGCACAGTTTCTACGAAATTCGATAGTCTTTGGCTCTCTTCTAATGAATTTTTAAGAGAATTTTGAGTAATTGAGAGGTGACGTGGATTTAGATGAGGTCGAATGCTTAACAACAACCACACATACCAATTTATTATTTTTAAGTGAATATTGCAGTAGAATTTTAATAAAAAACAGGTTTTTTTTATAAATATCTCATAGATATATTCAGAATTGATAATAATATTTATCTAGTGACATGTTTACATTATCATCAAAAAGACAAATTTCTCGTTATTTTCATCTATATCTAGATATCCAACGCAAGTGTGGTGAGATTTCATAGTATATAATTGAATTCAAGTATCGGTAAGTTGACGAATTTGTGTTTTCGTTGTACCAATATACTTTGCCATACTTTTCGTACAGTTCAATGAGAAACAGACATCAATAACCGATCCAGCTTTATTTAATTTTAGTACTTCATCAATTTTAAATTCTTGTTGCTTAATTTCGTATTCACGTTGTTTTTACATGGCATCTTCTGTATTCAATAAAGACTACTACGCTTTAATACATGACAAGCTTTTCAAAATTTCATTAACTTCCTTACGTAATTCTTGGTTATATGGATCTTTGCGTAGCTCTAATATATTATATTTTTCATCCAGAGATATTCGTTAAAATTCAATATCAAAATTAGTAGGAAAACTTGGCAGCTCGCTATTGTAATTGATACTTGTCAGTGAAGGGCGCAATGAAGATTTCTTGAGATGAATAGAATCGACTGTGACTTTCAGTGGACTTTCGTCCAATTTCGTTGAATCTATTGATGATGAACTGATTCTTGCTTAACTCATTAATATACGATTAAAATGAATTATATTTTCAATTTTTTGAGAGAAAAATCTCTCACGATAATTGATAGACTAATGAGGTTTAAATATTCGATAGGTTCTCAAAAATAACAATGGAAAAATGTTAATGTTATTGTTTTTCGGATTTTTCCAAATATTTTTAATTCAAAATAATAATAAAGCATTCTCATAAAGCATTTGTTTGGGTTCTATTATTTTTCATTCTCGTTTGTTTCAAACAGATGCAGAGTTTATCTTGAGAATATGTATGTTTGGATATTGTTATGTTTGTATGGAATATAGATATAATTCTTCTCTTCATCTACATCTACACTTGATAATGACAATCACCTTTGCATCTACATTCATCTGATTACCAAGCTCATTTTTCAAAAAGAAACTGAACAGAAATCTATGAATAATTTTTCTCTCTTCGGTTTTTATCCCTTTGTGAATATTTCATATGTTGGTTGTATTATTTGTTCTATTGCATAAACGATTATTCAATAACAGTTGGTTTTTGGTTGAGATCGAATCAAAAACTAGTCAAATATTAGGTTGAGTTTAAAAAAAAAACAAGTAAATTTGGTATATGTCAGTGTACTTATTTTATATATTTAATGTGAGAAAATACAAATTTATAAAATTATGATCACCGATAGAAGCAAATGCTTTTCTCAGTAAAGGATCGAAATTTTCAACGACAATTGATTTTTTTTTAAATTAGCTTTTGTCTTCATCACTTATGTAAGTTTTAGATTCTTAAAAAGATTGAACCATAGGTTCTTCTTCACTCAATGAATCATAATCAAATATTACTCTAGGATAATATCTAAGAAATAAAGAACAATGAACTTTCTTTTCATAACTATAAATTAGACTTACTCAACATTTTGTTGTAGACAATTTCTCAAAGAAATAATCGATTCAAAAGCTGAATGAGAATTTGATTGTTTACATCATCGAATTTCTATACTCTTATCATACATTTCAATTGCTTTGACACAATCTCCTGGTTTTGATGAAAAAGTCCACCTATAAATTCATAACTCTCTACAATAGTCGGATCATTTAATGGTTCATATTTAAGCTTTGTATTTAATGCATCATTATAATATTTCAAAGCTTGTTCATAATCACGCATTGATTGATATATTTTTCCAACAAATTCATATGAAACAATACGATATGGAAGATATGAAGGAAATCGTTCATCGATTACTTTCAATGTTTCGAAATGATAATTTATAGCAATATCTTTTATTTTCTGTCTGAAATAAACTTCTCCAATTGAATCACAACATCGAGATATATCTTCATACATATGTAATTCTTTGTAAATATTTAATACTTGTAAAAGATAATCTAAAACTCGATCATAATTTAGTTTAAGCCGACTAAAATATATTATTCCAAGATTATATAAAGTATCTGCTCTTTGATCTTTAACGTCATTAATTTTTTTTGTTGAATTTCTAATGCTTTTGTTTGATATTCTAAAGCATATGAAATGGAATGAATGTCTAGATAAACAAGGCTAATATATTTGTAACTACGAACTAAAAGATCAAATCGATCTGGGCTTAATTCAATTGTTAAACGATAATAAGCTAATGCAATATCATATTCGCCTTGTTTTTCAATTGACGTTACCTAAACCCCAGTAACACTTAACGATAAGATCGATAGATAAACTTTCGTTTATTGATCCTTCATCAAGTAATCGTTGACAATAGTGTTTAGCTTTATCAAATAGATTCATTCAAAGTAATACAGCTGCTAAAGAAAATGGTGAATGTTGATCGAACACTAAAATTTTATTTGATTGATAAACTTGATTCAATTCGTAGACATCATCATTACACAATTCTAATTCAATTATCCACATATGAATAGAATTGGAGAAAGTGACTTTTTTAATTTCAAATATCGATCCAGCCATGAATAAAACTTCTTTTTCATCTACAAATTGACTAACATGTGAAATATCAGCAAATTGTTTGAAATTGCTTATATTTTTATTGACTTTTATATGAAATAAAACATATTCTCCTTCTAATGCATTTCTACTCGAACTAGAAACTTGTGCTATTTTTGGTTGTTGACTGATGTTGATAAAAAACTATTCAATGATATTAATTGACCAATATTTTCTCTAATATTTTGTAATTCAAAAGATGAAATAATTTGACTACTGTAAAGAAACAAATCGATTCCGCGATATGTTTTATCATATTCTATTTTTAATTGTTCATATATATCTTTTAAAAAGAATCGAAGAGAAAATAAAACATCAATATCTTGAGTTTGTAATGTTTTATTTAATATTTCATAAAAGAAACATTAACAACTATACTATTGAAGAGCATTTTCAGATCGATATGTATTTTCAAATAATTGATTTTTTTCGTCAATTATCATCGAAATATTTTTATATGCATCAATCAAATTCTTTTTTTTGCTTTTTCTCGATCATCATTATCCAGTAATATAGCAAGAATACGTTGAAACCATAATAATTCACTATTTCATTGTGAATGTATCGACTGTTGGAAAATATTACTATCCAATGGATTTATTCTAGTATTGTGATCGATTTCAATTATTTGAATCATTTCATTAAAACTATTCTCATTATTTTCATAAGTATACATTTGTGCCTTATTTGAACTATATGGAATATCAGTAACAATATAGACTTGATCATCATCTACATTCTGTTCAAGATATTGATTGCAACCATCAATATTATCAATGACTTGTACATAATCAATAATAATTCGAAATTGATCTAATTGAATTTCATTAGGTTGAGTTGTTAATCAAATAAAAAGAATCGACTGTAAGTTTCGTATGCGTCGAATAACAACTTTATTTTCATAACTTATTACATTTGTAGAGAACATATTTCATAGATTGTATCGTTGTTCTATTGTTTATAGAATGATATTGTCAGGAATTTGTTTGTTCTGCTTCTTAATCAAACAATGTGTTGATGATGGCATTCATACATATGACACAAAAAGACATCTTAGCAACGTCTCGATCTACCATCGACCAATTTGACACATATGTTGATTACCTTGTACTTATTACTATCTATCTTATAACAATATTTAAAAATATTTTCATTGAATTGTTGTGTTGGTTCTCTAAATCATACTTGTCTGTTTTTTCATTATTGATTTTGTTTCGTATGACTAATTCATAGTAATGGTTTCATTTCTTCCACAAAATCCTGACAAGTTGAATTACTCATACAAATATTGGATGAATTTCTATTTATTAAGAACTTATGGAATTAGCTGAGTCAGACGAGATAAGAATTGAATTAGAATTAAATCTAATATTAAGTTCTTCTTATTGAAATACGATTTATATTTCAAACATAGTAGCCAGCATATGCAAATTTCGAAAGGTGATTGTTGCTCAATTATTTTAAGAGTTCAGAAAACTAGATACTTAATAAGACAAGTTAGAATAGATCATTTGTTATGCAACAGATTTAAGACTGTGGTGTAGGTGTGTGCACGGTTTGGATGTGAATCTTCTCTCAATCCACACACATAGCCTTAAAACTCTTTTTCAAAAAATGCAGACTACAATCATATTTTACAATCTTTGAAGTGATAATAGATCATGAAAATTATAGATTAGTTGTTGTTCAAAAAGAAGCTTTTATTTAACAATGGTAAACCATAGTCATATTGTAGCTGTTGAGAAAAATTTTTCATCGATTGATGCTAATGATCTGTGGGTAAAACAAAATGAATCTAGGCCACTTGCCCGCAGAACATTTGCCCGCCGAACATATGCCCGCAGGACACTTGCACGTAGGACACTTGCCCGCGGAGGACACATGCCCGCAGAGGACACATGCCCGTGAGACATTTGCTCGCCGGACAATTGCTTGCCACTGTTAAAAACGTACACTTGCCCGCAAAATAATTTTCCACGAACGATTATTCACCGTTATTCTTCGAAACAAACAGTTCCTAATTTCATTTCTTTCAACGTTTCTTTTATTTCAACATCTCAATACTACATGTACAAATGAGCTAGCAGTTGTAAGACAAAAAAGTTAGGCCGACTTCAGCGAAATGTTATTAGCTAGTGCTAATACTTTATCCAAATTTGTTGTCGACTGTTCATTCAAAATATTCAAAATTCTTTTTTGTTGACGTTCGGTGACCAAACGTTTCGGTCGTCTGACCCCGGCTTCAGCTTGAATTAGTTCAGCTTCGACCATTGATTGTTCTTTTTTCAACGATTTCAAAAATTTCCAAATGTTCGGATGTGCACAATCAACTAGCGATGCAAATCTATTGTTCCATCCTTCGACTACATTGTTTGTTCGATGACCATCTTGTAAAGTACTTTGATGAATATTCCAAAGTTTCACATCAAATTGAGGCCTTTTCTGCGGTCGACCTTCTCGATTGCGTTCACCGATGTAGGTTTCTTCGAAATATTGCAAGACAGGCTTCCCTTGGATCGGAAATTGCTGTTTCAATTCTTCAAATGTATCGATAACGTCGTCCGTATTCAACAAAGCCAGAGCAGGAAGAGCTCGAATTTGTTGAGCTAGTAGTGGATCAGCAGAATAATCTGCTTTCAGTCCGAAACGTTCGACGGCTCGATAGACAGACTGACACAGGTGAAAAAAACATCCACTAATATTGGCATGTGGAAATTTCGTTCGAATGGTGCGAATAGCCGCTTGTTCAAAGTCCAATTTCACATTAACTGGATCGAAATTCGGTTTCATATCAATAATCCATTTGAACATTTCATTATATAATTTCTTTGATTTACCTAAAAAAAAAGCCACCATTGGTAAAATTCTAAAAGCCGTATTTACCTGGTAACATAGCATAAATCATTGGAAAAACATGACCCAAATATTCGCAGTGGATCGTGTACAATTGAAAGAATAAATTCGGTACGACCGAGAACGTTCCATCGAGGAATATGCTTGATGATTGTTCCAATATTTTCAATTGCTTTCTCGTTGAAAAAATCAACATTCGTTTGTCTGTCAATCCTGAGTCATACTGAAGGAATGTTCTATTCGCCACTGTTTTTGTCATGTCATGTGGAATAATAATTGTATCACGTGACGCTGGCAATGCATACGGATTTTGAGCCTTTTGACGAATACGTCGAGTTGTCTTCTTCAGATTTTGCAGATCTGGCAATGATGCAACTGCTTGATTTGATAAGTGACTAACTCCATCGGCAATAATATCATGTGTCGCTTTGCTCGACGTTTTTGCATCTTGACTCATTTGTGTTCTTGCAGTTATCAATTCGGCGATTTCGGCTCTTGGTTCATGATTGTGGATGCCAATGGTTTGAACGACACGATCGTTGATAGTATGCAATCGGCCTTTGCAATGTCCATGTCGTTTTCGTTCACAGCACCAAATCATTTTATCACCTGACGATCTTTCTACGATATACGCGTAGCCATTTTCAACAAATACAGGCTTTCCTTTTGTGGTGGTCATACTGAGTCAATGGTCGATTAAGATGATGATCCACAGGATAACAAGCACACGCTATTTATAGCAGAGATAAGGTGACATATTTTTGAAAGAAAAGAGAAAAAACCGGCAGCCGTCGACAGCTATTGTCTTATTGTCTATTCACTATGCACTGCGAGCAAGCGTCCGCCGCGGGTAACTGTCCGACGGGCAAGTGTCCGTCGCCGGCAAGTGTTCGCTACGGGCAAAAGTCCTACGCGCAACTGTCCTGCGGGCATCTGCCCGGCGGGCAACTGTTCAGCGGGGAAGTGTGCGAATACCAAACAAAATAAGCGATAGGTCCCGATAATTCATTTTTTCATAATGAAAAACGTTAACATTTGCCACAGTAGATCTCAATGATTTCGATTCGTTCACCGCTCTGATTTTCTAACGATAGATAACTGATAAATTAATTGTATGGATGTGGTTGTGTACATGAACTAGGTGGATCATAATATTTTGATTGGCATTTCAAACATTTGATTTGAATTTCTATCATGTCATGTGTTGATGCATTTGTTTCGTCTAGATTTTCAGCTTCTGTTAGTACGCTTCGACTGTAATCTTCCATCAGGTCCATGGTGATATTGTTCTATAGTTCGCCATGAAAAAAATTGATATCTAAAGCATATTGAGCCAAAAAAAAAGTTGCATTGGGTAACATTGTATTTAACATTAAAGGTTCTTACATAATTCATGATTTTGTTTTGCTTTCTGTATTGTGTTTATTGTCGATCGAACTGTTATATACTTGTGCAACAAACATTGACAATTAGTACTAGAAATAACATATAGAAAAAACTATTTCAATGATCTTGGAAAAATTCGTACTTATTTGAACTGTTGAACTACATAGAAAAACTTTCAAAACCATAGAAGACTCCACGATATTCATTCAAGTAGTACCTCTTATCATAAAAGTAAACAGCCGATACGAGCTCTGTTGTTATTCACAGTACAGATGCTGAAACTTTTATCAGTAATACTAACATGTTACAGACATGAAACCAGAAAATTTCCGAAAGAGGACTGAACGCTGAAAAAAACGAATTTCCCACTTTAGTAGTCTCTTTCCGATATTCCTCTAGGACGATTTTTCACATGAGGAGAAGACTAAAAGACCTTTAGTCGCGCTCCTTCCAGACATCCTTGAACTGTCTGGACCGAAGAAACTATACTAGATGTCTTGATCACATGGGATTCAAAACTGAGGTATTCTAGCAAACAAAAACAATGTACGAAACTGAATCAAAATTCTTGATTTTCAGCACAATCCATCGAGTGAAACTGAAGATGTGACGTGTTTTGCAACTAAGAAAGTGCTATTGCCGTTATGCTTAGATTATTGATAGAAGTGGGCTGTTAAATGTTCTTCAAAGGTTTTGAACCGTTGATTCTTTCGATTTGTGATGTTTTATTCATTTATTCGTGTCCGAGTAATGGAAACATCTACTTACTATCGGTGACAGGCAACCATTTTCTTCGCACATTTTAATTATGGTTTTTGTCGTTGTTCATATAAATACTGAAATTTTAACTTTTCATGTTTAAATACTTTCCTATAAAGTGATGATTCATCTAAAACACAACCGATCTTAAAACCTATTCTATGTAGTTCAATATGTTTATTCTTATTCGTTGTAACATACCTAACATTTCATTTTTAATGACATTTTTTCATAATCCATCATTTGCATCGATAAATGTTTTACAAAAATTTGTTCACCAGTGAAAGTGAACATAAATCAATAAATGTCAAATGTGGAAAAATATTGTAAATAAGAATTTCAAGTAGTAATCGAGATAACGAAAGTGATGATGATAAATATTCACATTGAGCGACACATTGTTGTTCTTGTTGATAGTCATCAATGCTATGACTGTGAGTGTTACTCATGTTCAGATTGATATTAAGGAAGATCTAGAAAATGTATAGAACATATAAGAGAAAAAATTTTCTTTTTGTTCATGCAACTACACAGTAAGTTCTTCATACGACTGCCATGTCGAAGACTACTTGAGTAATTAAATGTATTAGTCTTTTTTTGGCATAGATATCAAGTAGAATAGCAGCCATTTAACTTTATTCGAAGAGTTTCTGAAAAATATCAGCGAAAATTCTCTCTAACTCTTTAAGGTTGTACTGAATAGCAGATAGGTAAGCCTTTATGTTCATTCTATGACTAGTTTACCTAGCAGTTGTGAACACACGCAAGTCAGCATTTAAAAGAAAAGAAAAGATCGTATCATATAAAGAGATATTAAAATATATGTTCAAAGTGTAAGGTCGCGACAGACGATTGGTCAAGAAAAAAATTGATAATAACGACTGTTCGCTCGGTAGAACATTAAGAAATGCGCGGTAGACAGACCGACAAGCATAAACAATATCTTGGACATTTCACATTTGCGGTGGAATAAATGAATCTTTCTGTTTTAAAGCATAGAAAACAGATGATTATTTGAAAGGCATTGCTTTGAAAAGAATTCCTCATCGGAACTAAATCGTTGTTTTCTAATCAAACTATTTAATTCACTACTTCGATATCTCGCCTAAATCAAAAATTTGGTTTTGAAAAGATAAAAGAAAGAAAAGATGAGATACTGATTCCATCTTTTATTGCAATCACTACTAAGACAAAAACAAGTGATAGAAGATTACTCATTGATTGATTGAAAGGAACTTATTGGAGGGAGAAACTAAATCAAGAAATAAAAAACATATTTTACTAATAAATTCATTTTTTGTCATTGAAATATGTGAAAACATAAAAGAAATAAAAAAAAAGCATTGGCAATTCGACGAAATTGTTTGGAAAGATTTTTTGAAAGGAATGTTAACAGATTGCATCTCGTTGTTGATATTTGATTTATCTTTAACAAAAAAATCTTTCATCGTTAACTTCGATTTCGAATTCGAATCGAACTTACTGGAAATCATTGAATTATTCGATTTAATTCTTTAAAATGACTTGAATACTTCTTTAATTTGATTATCCAATGAGAAGAGTTATTGAAATAACCTTCAATTTTACTTTTTCTCTAAAACAACCATTAATTCGTCATTGATTCAATAGAAAGATCAATAAACTAATAATCGATTGAAAATAAGATACACCCAATGAATAATGCAGCAAAATCTTTTTCTCATTCATTTATAGATGGTTTGATAGAGCTTGAGAAGCTGGTCCTGAATATATGGTTTTTATTTCTATGAGACTATTTCTGGCAGAAAAAAACCTGAAAAACTCGACTGACTGAAAATAGAGTAATGGCAAATATGAATACACTTTTTTTTATAGAAATTGTTAAATTTCAATTAGGTTATTTTCTCGAACTTTATGAAAACATTCTGTTCTGATTTAGTGTTAAAAACTGAATAGAATAATGTTATTTGATTAGATTTCGAGTTAAACATGTAAAATAAATCGTGCCCAATACGAATAGCTTCCAAATATTCCACAGCACACATTTGTGAATTTTCTTGTAAATCTATCTAGGCTTTCGTAACAAGAAATAGAGGAAACTGTTTCATGTCATTATAAATGTTTGTATGGTCAGCTGCAAAACGAGGCATTTTCTTTTTTTCTATTTTGTTCTATTGCTGAGAAAACCGATTTTTTTCCCTTTTTAAGTAGGAAAATCAAATAAAAAGGTAAAAAATGTATTCGTATTTAGATGGTTTCATTATCGTGAATCAGTTGCAAAAAAAAGTAAATATTATATTCGGATTCAGCGTCAAAAACTGCATCGAATCATATATATATTTCAGTACATGTTATTTCCAATGAAAAATACACTTGTGTAGGAGTGTGAGTATGGGATGCTGATTAGGGTGTGTATAATTGATGTTCGTAAAAGGATGAGCCATATCCACAAGCACACCATTCATACCCACACCCTCTACTATCTATGGGTGTATTTTCTCGAAAAGAAATCTTATGTGAGAATAAAATGTGTACTTTTTTGTTGTATTATATTCCATTTTTTTCTTTGATGTGGCAATTGACACAAATTATTGTGTCTCACTTTTGCACTATTCGATAAAAAAATAAAGATTGTTCAAGGCGCATCATCTAGGTAATACAACATCAGCAGCTAAGCATTTTATAACGTGTACAATTCATGGAAATTTCCATCGATGGAACATCAACAATGTTTTTTTCTCTATTTTATAAGAAACACGTCAGATCGAGATTAGAAAACGCTGAATATTTGAAATTTAAGAAAGTAGAAAATTTTTTTTATGCTGCTTAATGAATTTCATGCGTTGATTATCATACAAAATCTTTATAACGCACCTGTTTCAATTTTAACAAAAGTCATAATAATAATAAACTTTACTGGCTAATGACTGACTCGCATTCTTGAAGAGTTATATTTTCATATTAATTTCTTGAAACAAAAATAGAAAAGAGAAAGAGCCTCTCTTATTTTCTTCATTCTCTAGAGTAGTGTGTTTGAAAACAACACACAAGAAGTAAGTAAAAGAAGATTTTAAGCGAATAGGCTAAGTTAGAGAACTATAAGAATTTTGAGTTTATTTTATTTTGATTGTGTAAGATATCTGACAATACTTCTAGTGCATATAGACATGTCAAATTTATCTTGTGGTATCAGTAGATTTTATGTTTTGTTGGTAAGCGAAAGGATATTATATGTACAAGACTTGAAAACTAATTTGGAGTTTTGATATTTTTTTTTGTTCCCGAAAGGTCGTTATACTCGTTTGCAGGCCATTTCCATACTTGGAAATGGGAGCACTTGGAGGACTGATATCCAAAAACGTCAGTTTGTCCAATTTTAGCGAAAAAAAGAACTATTGATAAGCAGCCAGAGAATTGTTTCTTGCACTTGTTGTGTACATTAGTTTAATTTAGAAAAAGTAATTACAAACTACTCTG